ATGGCTAGGAGTAGTTTCATAATAACAGGGAAAAATACAAACAGGAGGATTGAAGGTGCAAACGGACGGACAAAGAAACCAAAAGAGAAAGAAGCACAGTGAAGCACAAGGGTGAGAGGCCAAGAAAAATAAGTGATCTGTGAGGAAGTGGGAGAAGACAACACAGCAAGTGAAGGAAGCAAGAGTGAAAAGAGTGTGAAATAGAGGGAATAGGGAGGTGGTGGAAGCTGTAACTATGTTAGTGCTTGTGAACAACGCACAATCGCAGCAACCAGCAGCAGCACTAAGAGTAAAGCTGTCCTCTAATCCTCGTGTTTAAACCTCTGCTGATTCATTATGACAGATTACTGACATTTTCCCACTTTCCTCTAAAGTCACAGAGCTATTCCACGACTAGCACGTGCCTCCAACATTCTGTGAAAAGCGGAGTGAAAACGTTCTCTTCGTTTAAAAACAAACACATCAGCCCAGCTATCAATACACAAAACTGGCGAACTGTGAAAGGAGGAAAGAAGGAGGGTGGGCAGAGGGGCGCCCACGCAGAGGTTTTTTACATACTGCACGCCTCTCATATTCGCCCTGGGGGTCCCCTGTCCTCTCTCCTGGCTTTCAAACCACAATTTAACTCCTGCCTCTCCATCTATGTATAGAACCTGGATTGTTGTTGAGAAAATTAGCAGGTCCTTCAGAGTCATTAGACATCATTATCAGAAGCCTTCATGGCTCTGCTTTGATCAGGTTATTCGCTCCTCTTGTCTGCTGGCTCGGTTTAAATCTATGCACTTTGTAAAAGCTGGACTGCTTTCTTGTGAAAAATCAGAATGAGCAGGTAATCTTCTGAGAAATCCATCAGGAGGCATGAGAGGGAAAAAGATTCTCAAGGTTTTATAAACAAAAAGAAAAAAGAAATGGCATTAACTCAAAAAAAGAAAGCAGCATCATATAACATGAGCTAATTGATATTTTTTTTATTTCAAACAGAAAATAAACCTTTTGAGAGTGAAAGTGGCTCTATACAGTCTAATTAATATTTTTAGAGAGGAAGGGGAAACTAGTCTGCTACCCTTCTGAGTCGTAGAGTAGGGAAGAAATAACAAGACCTATTAAAATCAAACTTTTTATTGACATTGAAATATAATAATTAATTGTTTCTTGACAATTGAATATAGAAGTTTGTTTTCTTTTTGAAATTTATTAACAAATTATACCTGCAAAAGCTGGACTCCAAATGTTTTGACCTTCCGGTGGCTCAAGCTAAAGCAATAGAAAAAGGTCAGCAAATTGACAGGTGAATATTCTCAGGCTAATTTCTGCAGTTGAGATTTTGCATGACTATTTTTGCAGATTAAACTTTTGCTGGTGAATTTGAAGTAAAAAAAAAAAAATCATTATTTCATAGTGGTATAAATTCAATGCAGGGCTGGACAATAATTAAAGATCTATACATTTCACAATATAATTGTATTCATTAATGGTGATTTTAACACATGTCCAGTATGTTGATATACGCTGCAGTCTGTGGTTATGTCATTAGTCACGGACTGATGTTCCAGGCTCAGATGATTCCAGAACAAGCCACAGTATGTTTGCTGGTGAGCGTTGACGTACACAACAGGCTCTGCAGCTGTAGGCTGTGCTGCTCAACGGATAAGCTCCAATGCAGTAGGTCATTCCCCAAAAAGTCGACTTAATTAAGTTGAGTCGACTCACATCTAGACACCTCGAAAGTTCCCTCACGTAGGCTTGTATGCCGGTGTGCCACTAGCGTGCAAGGTGGTTTCTTATTGGCTTATCATATGGGCTTAATAGAACACACGCTACAGTTAACAATAAAAGCTGTTGTCACTGCAATGTTTTGTAAGTATATGTATAATAAGTATTTGCAGCCTAGACCAGGGGGGGTATTATTGACAGAAAGTGAGAGAAACCTTATATTGATGATTTTTGAAATAGATAAAGACTGTAACGTGCTTCCTACAGTGTCAATAAGAATTTATAAAAAGTACGATTTTGAAGAAATTAATGATTAATGAAATAAAATGTTCTAATCATTATATTGATTTGTTAACACAGTCCTTCAAGGTTACTGATTGTGATCCTTTTCTCTTTTTTGCTTAACTGTAAGGGAAGCACCTTTCACGGCAGCAAGGCTTGGACACTGCGGCTGCGTCCGAACTTCTGAGCTAACGCCTAAATCCCCTAAATCACTATATTTAGCAGGGACTATATAGGGGCCTTTATAGTGAACTCCGTTAACTGACTGTTCCAATAGATGATCCCTACTTTTCACTTCCTGTTGGTCATGTGACTCCGCCGCCACCGCGCGCTGCCTGCGCCATGTTTGTTTTTTGTCGCCGCTGTCAGGTAGCGAAAGCCTATGGCGACAGCAGGCCTTTGTGAAAACAAATCCCATGATTGCAGGATATATCTGCTCATCTACTGACCATGGATGAACACCACTTTTCAAGGTGCATTGTCAGAAATTTCGAATCCACTACTCTTTCATCCACTAGACGTTTGGTCACTTATCCAAAATGGCGTTACCAGTGGCGGCCGGCCCATAGGGGGCGCTGGGGCACCGCCCTCCCTGATAAGAAGAGAGAAACGTAAAATATATTTTTAGAAATTAACTCATAAATGTCAATTTTACTCTCTAGACTGTGTACCTATAAGCAAAACAAATGATATTTTACATTTCCCTCTCTACTGTCATTCTTTTGTGGATTTCCACAGACAGACTCCTACCGTCTCTGTCTTGGGGCGCTGATCAGACAGCCCCACATTTGCAGAGAATCTGTCAATCATGTACTATTGCTAGGTGAATTTAATGGCCAATCAGCGTCTCAGAACTTTATGGTCTTGGGGCGCTGAAAATACTGCGCTTTTACAGGGTTCTGCACCCAAGCGCAGGTGCAGACAATTAGAGGGACAATGGCGAACGTAACGAGCAAGATGCAGCTTCCACCAAATTCGGTGAGACCCTTATTTATCTACCCGTTTACCCGAAGAACATCCCTGTTGTAGGGTATGAAAATTTCCTGTCATGGTTATTGTGAGTGCGACGAATCCACCTCGTCAATGAAAACTTTGCGTGCCACACACACATTCCTGTTATACTGTGATTGTGAGGACCAATCCGCTCGCGCTGAGCCCAGTAGCTCCATTAACTTAAAACACACAAGCTGTTCCTGGTTACCTGCTGGCGTATTGAGGGTGCACACTTAATATTTCAGTGGGGTTAGCCATGTGTGTGTGTGTGTGTGTGTGTGTGTGCGCTACAGGGACTTGTCATCTTCAGTCTGGCTGCGTCTTTGCTGGGTTCAAACCCAGTTTGGTGTAATTGAATAAGTCAATGAATCTGTGTAAAAGAATTAAGTTGTAAAAATTATTTGTTTGTTTTTGTACATCAATTGTTTGTGGAGGTAATATATGGACAAAACTGATTTATGAGATGAAATCAGAAATCAGAGAGCCTGAGGGGAGGGGCTTAAACTAATTAATGAGGGCTGTGGGAAGAAGAGCGGCCATTTCTGTTTTCTGTTTCTTTGTTACATTGCTGGTAACTGGAGGGAGGCTGAGGCCCAGAGGATCTTGTATATGTTTAGTTTCTTTTGCACCCTGTTTTGAGTTTTTGAGCACAATAAATCAACAACACCGGTAACCCGACTGAGCCTAGATTCTTGGAGGCCAAAGAACCCCGTCACAGTGACCCAAATCATCACTGTTACTGTTATTATATAGTAAATTAAATCATTACTGTTAAATTGTATGTATTGTCCAATTGTTTATTTGAATTCTTATTCCGGATTAGTTGGAGACATACACTAGGCTATATCAGCCCCACCAAAAATATTTTTCACCAGCTGCCACTGGTTGTTACCACTACATAGTGCCCTATATGGTGATTAGGGCAATGTGTGATTGTCGAGTTTTTGTCTTGTTGGATGTGCTGTTCTGAAATTAAATTAATACATCATTTGTAAATTGATTTGAATTAGGTTTGTTTGTCTGTTTGAACATATGGAAGTTTGGCAGGAAAAAAAAAAGGTTCAGGATGTAGCTAAATGTGTGATCTTGATCACTGAGAATCTTCACCAGCAATTTGCATAATAACGTTCAAAGTTTTGTACAGGATTCTGTTGTTGTGTTTCTGGGCAGTTTTTATAAGTGCTTTTATATTGTTTATATTGGAATTATATCGCATCTACAGAAATTATGAAAATATATTATTATATCAGATATGTTTATACAAGTTAAAATAAGATAGACTTTATCGATCTCACAGTAGAGAAATTCACTTGTCATATCGGCTCAATAGCCAAAAGAAGGTGCCAAACGGAGGGAAAGGTGCATGGCGTATATACAGTGCGTCCACATATATACAGTGGATTGGGAAAATAAATAAAAAAAATAGGGCAGAGATTAAGGTCGCTTATGTACATCTAAAGTGACCTAAAGACATATGGATTTGGCATTGTACATTAGAGTGGTATCATGTAAGGAACAACAGTAATGTAGTGAGATAACTATAACAGCTGAATTCTCCTATTATGAACAAAATTTTCTGAGCGGACACAGCTGTGGCCTAATGCTCCATAAAACCAAATTAAATCTTAAAAACACAGTGGGAACAATATGAAGGCAAGCTATTAAGATTATGAATTTCACAGCCTTTAAACCCAACAGGTGTCCCATCTTTTGGCATCTTAATATAATGGATAAAGGGCTCCAAAAACTGGATACCAATAGGATCCTGTTAGGTCATTTTTTAAAAATTCATGTAGTCTAAAAAAATCCAGTGACAACATCAAAGAAAGAGTCAAAGCCTGAGAGCAGAAACATTTGTTATCTGTGTAGGTTCAGTAAAAGACCCCTCTAAAATGAAACAGTTTGCACTTTAATAGAAGGTCAACCAAATCTTAACAAGCTGACTTTACAATAAGATTATAGTCGCTCCAGTGACTCCATTACCATTACATCCTCTATGTGTCCTTCCTTACCTGGGTTTGAATTTCAGCTGGGCATTAAGAGTTGACTGAGCCTGGATGAAGCTCTTTTTTGGCAGAATCTCCATGTGTTTCTTCATCTCTGGGCACACCTCAAACTTTACTTTCAAAGCTCTGTTTGCTCTGTAATGCAAAAAGGGTGCAGCTTTATTAGAATATAAAAATAACACAAGTGCTTTCATGTAACTAACTTTTTCATGAGAATACTGTATAACAGGGCAGGTGCTTTATATGGAGACCTGATTACAAAGAAGTGGATTCTGTTTATCATCATCAGTCTTTTAGGCCAACAGTGGATCATTCAGAGATCCTCACTGAACTTCTGGAGAAGGTTTGCTGCACTGAAAGTAAAGGGGCGGGTGAATTTTGAACATCCCCATCCTTTTATTTGTTAAAAAAACAAGTAGTAAAATGTCCAAAACATATAGTTTCTCTTCGTGACTGTGTCCCAATTATTGTTGATTCTTCACATTTTTTTTTTATATCTTTATGTTTGAAGCCTGAAATGTGGCAAATGGTTGAAATGTTCAAAGGGGACGAATACTTTCGAAAGGCACCGTATCACTGCTTATAGATCGAGAATACAGACAATTGACCTTCATTTTAGTAGCTCCAGTGGATTTCACTTCAGAAAGAATAACTTCACAAAGTTCACATCAATTAAGTGGCGTTTCAAAGATGGTTGCACCACTAGAAGCAACAAGTGCAACTCAGACAAATGACTCCATATTTGTCTGGTTTTTAAAAACATCCAACTACAGAGATGGAACATGTACAATAACGCATTTGTGTAACCTCATCTTTAACGACACAGATATCCCCCCCCCCGCCCCATTCAGCTGAAATGACCCACTTAAACTGTCAGGTCAGCCAGATGCTCGCTTCCCCGAGGCAAGAACTTGCAGGGACACTCGGGACACATTAGGTTTCAAACTTCTCTCCAATTAAATGACAACCTTCAAATAGCTTGGTGGAATATTTATGGCAACATAATCAGTTTGGCCAATGAGCCATTTTAATTAACGGGGTCATTTGGCTGAGCTTGTAGTTTTACTGGCAGAGAGTCATTGGTTTATTACTAAAGCAATGCCTATTGATGTCTGTTGGGTATACTATTTTATTAATTCCTCCGTTTGACACCTTTCTGTTTTATCTTTTGTTAATGTCGATATCAATATACAACCTCTGCCTTCTTAAAGATGTATGCCTTATTTATTACTTTATTCTAATAGAGGTAAAATAATTATCCATGTATATAAATTGATATTTGAGAGAAGTCTATTCAAATCTGCAGAGAAAAATATTTTAAGAAATAAAGCGCTGCTTACATTTATTGGGACAGCTGTGAAAAAAAAGTGGTAAAAGCCTAGACATCCTGTCAAATGTTAGTCAGAAGCCACTGAATTCTTCTCCAAAGTGCCTTGACCTTTTAAGACTGTTTGCAGGATCTTTATAAGAGAAACCTCAACAAAGATCCTATGTTGCATAAGGTGACTTAATTCACTTTAAAATGAATTTCAGTCTTAATTTCCTCTGGCATATAGACACATGGTTCAGTATGAAAAGTCACATTTAGTAAGCTACATACTGTATGTTTGTGGTTTGAAGAAGGAAAAGGCTTTTAGACTTCCAGCTGTTGTTATGGTGACTCAAAGATAAATTACTTCAGTTTTCTAACAGTGGGCTTCAGAGATTTATTTAACCTCCCCAACCACCCTTCTCGACTGTGCGTGGTGGCAAAAATAAGCAGCATGTCAAATTGCAACCTGCAAAAATAATTGGACACGTGTAAATGTCTGAGTTAAAAAAAATAAAAATTCTCATTTAGAAGGTTTAAAAAGTGAATTGTGGGTTAAAATACAAGCAAAAAAACAACACAGCCTGTGAAGATGACTTTTTTTTTTTTACACGTTGGTAAGCAAGTTAGTAGGAACTTTGATCAACTTTCAAAAATAAAATATAATAAAACATTTTCAGTTACATTTATTTTTAAATTTTTTTTTAAAGGGTAACTAATAATTATTGAATAAATGAACATAATCATACAACTGCAATAAAAGATTAATTCATTTTAGGGTTTATTACACCCAGAACGAGCTAAATGTTTCCTATTAATATTAAGATCCACTGTCAACAATTTTGGCCTTAATAAAACATTGTTCTGGTTTCTTTTATACCCATAATGCAATCCTATTTGTCTAAGCATAACTATAAAAAGTCAAAATATGAGTACTTCATAAAGGAGGTGTGAATTTCAATCACCTTTAATTAGGTAGTCTCAGAGATTCTGACCTCTTGATAAATTCAGTATTTCTGTAAAAGTTGTTGTAGTCTAATAATCGAGTGTAATAATTTAACCATCCTATATTTCCTTTTAATGTTTTTAAAATAATGGTAAAATGCACAATTTTAAACTGTTAGAAAGATACAAAACAAATTATGAGCTTTGCATCTTTGAATTTTAAATGCTATTTTTTTTCTAAAATTAAACTTTATCTTATGAATATAATAAAAATGATAGAGAAAAGAAGAAATATATATTCTTTCTTTTTAAATCGAAACATTTTAGGGATTTTAGATAGCAGATTTTGGTAAAACAAAGCCTTTTTTTTTCATTGGGTGTTGTCAAGTAAGCAAATCAATCAGTCATCCTTTTTTCATCAACCAACTCCTTCCTGATAAGTCTGCTTTCTTCCCTCAAACCAGCCAGACAGTTTAACTGACTTCCTGCAGTTCTCTGCTTCCAGATTCTTGCTGCTTTTGTAAATAAAACGTTAAATTCACTGGTTCTCCGTGTGATTCTGCATGTTGGTCAAAAAACTACAAACCAACATGATGATCGCAGGATTTTTTTTTAAGAATTCATTTCCAAATGATGGTGAAAAACAAGCATTTTGTCCCCCACAGACAAGCAGGATGTCCAACCCTCATAGACCTGTAGCTTCTTCAGTTCTTCTGTTCTCCATTCCTTATCTCTATTAACGGCACCTGTTTTAAGACACCTGTCTACAGCCTCAATGAGCCAGACTCTAAACTCAACCATGTCAAAACCAAAGAGCTGTGGAAGGAGACCAGGGGAAAACTGTAGACCTGCACCAGGCAGCAACAACAGCAGGTGGGTCAGTTTGAATATATCAATTACAAGATCAACTGTAAGTAAATGGAAGACATGCAAGCCTGATTTGGTGTAGAAGACTTACAGCCGTACATGTTTGAGCCCTTGCCTCACAACTCAGCCAGTTCTGTTAGCTCTACGCCTGCTGAAGACACAGACGTCCATCCCCATGAACACTGGGACGTAACTCAATGGGAAAGTAAATGATTATTTCCTCATTCATCCCTTGCGTATATATTAGCTGCGACATATGAATCAAATAATCAAGTTTTGTGTATTGAATGCTATGATGGAAAAAAATTAGATTGACAGATGACGCTGATATATAATGAATTTGGGTGTAAAAGATGACATATAACTAACTGGTCTGCATAAGAAAAAACAAAATACTGAAAAAAGAGATTTTAAGACAGGATTTAGCTTTAAATAGAAATCGTCTGATAAAGCTTACATTTATATACATGTTTAAGCCAGAATGATTGGACATTTAAATATGACGATCCTACGACTTTAAGTGTTCCTCATGCGCAGGAGAGGATGCAATGGCAACACAAGTAGCGAACCTGCATTGTGTTTATGGAAGTAAACATGCATGGTAGTGCTGGAGCGCATTTTGGAATCTTTCATGTCTTTTCCAACTGAAGCTTGTAGATTAACAACGCAATCTTTTCAAGATAGACTGCTCTCCGCATTATTGTCCGCCATGGTCGTTGTCTTTATTCTTAATTCCACGTAGCAAGATGCAGAATCATGAATTTTGTAGAGTATCAATGAGGTACAGGTAGGATGAGTGCAACATTGGTATTCACATTGGTAATCGTATTCAAAAAGATATGTAAGGCATTTCGATAGAATCCATATATATATATATATATATATATATATATATATATATGTCTGTGCGTGAAATATAAACTTTTCATGAGTTGATTGTTGATGCACATGTAAAATACAATCTTTTCATTATCAGTTGTTTGCTTACTTTTACATCAGCAATAATTACATCCTTTTTTCAAGAATAAATTAAACAGACCTCAGAATTCACTGAGAAGAGGTGCAGCTGGCACAGCAGAAATACCGTAAATAGACAGAAAACAAAGACAGAAGGGTTTGAAATTAGGCAAGAATCTTGAACCCCGGAATTCGTAACAGATGAGGGTTTCAAAGTCTCTGCTGAATGTTAAAGAAAAAAAAGAAAAACTCTGCCAGCACTGCTCAGAATATTCAATCACTGGTTCACAAGCTGAAGTCAAAAAACTGCATAACTTAGAGCCTCTTAAAATTCGTTCAATTAGTCAGAGAGATATTCAAATCTCTGGCACACAGGCTGGGTAGACATATTCAGCAGTGCTTTGTGCTGCTCTTTCAACCAATCTGTCACAAGCTAAAGACTACTTGTGGGATGGTTATCTATTTAAGGAAAAAAAAGTGTCAGTTTTAAGTGATGAAAGTAGCGGCTCTCTCATTGTTCTTCCAAAAGTCTGCCAAGCAATTTTGTATTCAGATTATTGTCTTGGAGGCAGAGTGACATATTGCATAGTTTGCCGGTCCAAGCATTGGCATTTCTTAACTTGAAAAGCTGCACTTCACACTGACACTGTCATCATCATGTTGTCACATGTGCTGGTGTGCCAGCGCACCAGATGGCAGTTGTCACAAATCCCTACCCCTCACACACACAAACACCCACACCCTCCCCCTGATGACGGCAGAGGTGATGGACCACTCTTCTGGAAATACTGCTGCCCCTGGTGCAGTCTTTGCTCTACATAAAATGCATCATATCCATAATCAAGAAGGATTTATTTCAGTTCTGTGCTGTTTGAAAAAAAAAAAATATTCAGAGGACTGAAGCTTCCAGTTTACATTATCACTCATTTATGAACATTTATAAGCAGCTTCTCTTTTTTTGTATTTAATCCTTGCATTGGTACAATGAATTATCATGGTCCTGGGCACTCAGAAACCTTGGATTACTATGTTGTGTTGAAATGTGCCTTTAATTCGA